ATATACAAGTGGTAGTCATCATGTTTAGGACGAGCTAATTAAGCAAATGAGCTAATAAAGGAGGATTATGGGCTTAAATAGAATATTTAAACGGATGTGCCTAATTAAAGAAAGGGTTATGGATAAACCGGCGGAATAACTAAAAGAAAGATTGTGATCTTAATACATGAAGGATTTGAGGCAAAAAGGTAGGATAATTAAAATTTAAAAGGAAGGATTTGTAGGCTTCAATGTGTTGGAGCTATTAAATTAGAAAAGTAAGGATTTGATTTCTGACTAAAACGGGTAAGGACGCCATGGTAATTAACAAAATAATTATACTTAAATGCCATTAAAAAGGATTATACTTAGATGAAAACAGCGGGAGATTATGCCCAACAAAGAAAATATGAACACTGCTAAAGTGCAACGTATTTTTTATGTTCATTTTGTAGAAGGATGCTGCGTTGCAGCATGTTCTTCATAGTGAATCCGGTGCTGTGAGATATTATGCTTGCACAAAACATCAATTTTTCCCGTTGCAACGCACGGGCATATGTGCTAGTTTTACTAACGTGAATTGAGAATCCAAAGCTCTTCCAGTCGGACTCAGACATGAGCTGCTCTAGAAAACTTTGTGCCGTGCACATGCTAGCGCGTGAGCACTCATGTGCCATCCATTGGTATGTGAACCAAAGAACAATTGTCGCATGGTCGTCCTCGTTCTCTGGTGCTCATGGGTTAAAGATTCCTTTGGTGCCTATAAACGGGAACTACTCCCTCTCTCTCAGTTTACAGGGCGTGCACGTACTTCTAAATCGTCAATTTGATCAACTTAATACAAGTCATATATTACAAAAAATATATCAATATAAATTTCAGATGTTCTATTTTTAAAAGGTATAATTTTTGTGTTATATAGTTTATATTAGGGTGATAAAATTGGCAACCTAGGATACGCGTAGGACTTGTAAACTGAAAAGGAGGGAGTAGAATACTACTCCCTGTCGGAAACCTGACATGCTTGTTTTAATACGGTTGCACCTAATCATACTTTACCTCACGCGCTGCACATGCCGGCATCATCAGCTGTCCTTAGAGGAGGAAGTTCATTTCCTCCAGGCCATTGCATAGCCATCGTCATCCAGCCCGAGAAAATTAGTTGCTTCTTCGTTTTCCTGCTGCACTTGTCCCAGTTCTTCTCTCCACTCCAAACACCCAAACAACAACTACGAGAGATGGAGCGAATAGACTAGGAATAGCTAGAGAGCACCGATGACACCTGTGGTGAGCGCTTCACTTGGAGCGTCGGGTCCTCTGTTGGTGAAGCTCGGCACCTTGCTCTCCAATGAGTGTGGCCGTCTGAAAGGGGTCCGCCATGAGATCCGCTCCCTCAAATCTGAGCTTACTTGTATGCATGCTGCGCTTACTAAATATGCAATGATAGAAGATCCAGATGTCCAAGTGAAGGCATGGATATCATTGGTGAGGGAATTGGCCTATGATACCGAGGATGTCTTCGACAAGTTCATCCACCAGCTTGGCAACAACCAATACCATGGCGGCTTCAAGGAGTTCTTCCGCAAGACCGCTCGCCAACTGAAAACACTTGTGTCTCGCCGCGGAATTGCCAACCAAATTGATGACCTGAAGACTCGCATCAAGAAAGTGCAAGAGCTCAAGGACAGCTACAAGTTCAATGATGCTCCCTCTAGCACCACTGGCCATCTAGCTGTGGATCCCCGGCTTCAAGCGGTCTTTGCTGAGAAGGCACACATTGTGGGCCTGGAAGGTCTAAGAAATGATCTTGCCAACTGGATGGTAGAAGAGGGAAACAACTCCAAATGTTGCAAGGTGTTGTCTATTGTTGGGTTTGGTGGATTGGGAAAGACAACACTGGCGAATGAGGTTTATCGAAAGATTCAAGCAGATTTTCGGTGTACAGCTTTTGTATCTGTCTCACAAAAGCCAGATATAAAGAAAATTATCAAGGATGTGATCTCTCAAGTGTCACGCGGACATGGATCCACAAAAGATACCAGCGATTGGGATGCAAGCAAGTTCATTGCAAAGCTAAGGGAACTACTACAAGATAAAAGGTAATGATTACCCTTATTTTTTTCCTTGCAACATGTGTGATGCTTGGTTCCCATATTTCATTCATTTTTTATTAAATCCTAGTCATCAACTCATGCACATGCACGACTTAGGTATTTTCTTGTGTCACTTGGACATAAAAAACATTAATAATATTTATATATTTATCACACGCAGAACTTATAGGAATTCAAAATATTCTCGAAAGCTTATATTTTCATGTAAAAGCATTTATATTACATTATTTTTTATTTGGAAGTATCCCAATGAGTAATCTTGCATGACTACGTTTTAGAACAAATGTTTTCTATCACAAGTGCTAGTTACCCTCATGTGAGATTTGTATGTTGCAGGTAGTATCTGTCAAAATCGAGAGTATGTACGTGTAGTATGTACTCCCTCCATCCCATAATGTAAGACATTTTTTTATCACTATACTAGTGTCAAAAAACGTCTTACATTATGGGACAGAGAGAGTAGTACATAAGAATATTTGGGTAGTATATATTCTATTTTTAGGTGGTATGTACTATTTTTAGTATATTGTTTTATATGTACATATATGAAAGTATTTTCAGAATAGATGAAAATAAATATAAAGTCCTCACTTTACATTTTTAGTATATTATTTTATACGTACGTATATATATATATATATATATATATATATATATATATATTATTTTATACATTTTTAGTACTTTTTAGGGATTGACTATTCATCACCCTGGGTGAGGAATAGTTATTCTTCACCCCCTCTATTTTAGCATCAATGCGCCGTAATTTTGCGTTTTGTAAATTTTGTCTTATTTCATACGTAATAAGAGAATGTAACAAAAAATGTAATCACCATAAAAACTATTTTATGTTACGTAAAATTACAAACATAAAAATATAGTGTAAAATATACATAAAATGCAATTTTTCTGGTCTTATGATCTATATTTCTGTTTTTATGCCAAATTTTACGTAGTGAATCGATACGAATGTAACTATTAGTATTCTAGATGTAATTTATTTATGAAACGATCGTAAGATTACCTTGGATGAAGAATAACTTATTCTACACCCTGGGTGATGAATAGTACTAAAAAACAACTAGAATGTTGTAAAAACAAATGTAAGAGGTCCTCAGTTTACATTTTACAAATAGTAAAATTTACCAAGTATGTTATAAAAGGATGTATGTAAAGAGAAAACTTTTGAATTGAACTTAATGTGAACTATCTTTTAACAAAAATCAAACATGTTTTTTCTCTTCCAAGCATCCAACAAATATACCCTCCATGATCACACAAAACGAATGCAAAAATATTTACTTGTAACTAACAAGCATGACTTGATTCCTCCGGAAAAAAGAACATGCATGGCGTGATGACGTGGCATTGATAGATTAATGCGGAGGAATAACTTGTGCCTGCATGTGTGACTTGATCATGTCACACCAATTTGATTAGATGGCTATTAATAATAATTGAGGTGACGTGGAGAAATCTAGTAGTGAGAGCTAGTTATTTAGATATAGAAAATATATGATATATGACAAAATGTGTGTATATTTTCACAGAAAGAAAAGCAATGCACAATAGCGAGGCCGGTTTACACTACTCCAAGCATCCTTACCAACCACATCAATATCTTTTTGTGTACCCTACTAAAAGAAGGGCAACATATGAAATGTTTGTAAGATCATAACATTCAGAGAAATTGTTAATAGAGCTTGAGCTGCTTGGAGCCCTAAATTTAAAATATTCAAAATCAAAATATGGAATTTCAAAAAATTCTAGAAAAACTACACATGTACATTTGGATGTTGTCTACAAGTGTGCAAGGTAACATGATTAAATACGTTATGATGTGAGCTACAAAAAAAAATCATGTAACTTTAGCACATGTAACATTCACTATACAAGTTCATGATTTTTCTGTGTGCTCCCATAACAACATCATAAAAATTTACACACTTATAGAAAACATCCTTATGTACACACACTGGCGGAGCTACATGTACTTCTACAGGGGCCATGGCCCCCCAACCTTGACAAAATCTCTGAAGAAAAAATATTTAAAAGTGCCTAATTAGAAAAAGTATAGTGTTTGGCCCCCTCAAGATGTTGTATTTGCCTTTCGCCCCTGCAGCATTTCCTGTCTAGCTCAGCCACTGTGTACACATCTATTTTTTCTGAATTTATTGGAACTTCAAAATGTGGTTTTTGCATTGTTAAAATTTCTGGCTCCGTGAGCCAAAAATCCACACTCATTAGGAAATTTCTAATGGATAACAGTTATCGTAGTTCCTTTGGCCTCTATTGTTCACTTTGTCACTTCATGCTTACACAAGTACTCAAACTACTCGAAATATTCTATCCAGCTCTTAAATAGAATACATGCACAAGCAAATAAATATGTATGCGTTGAACTTGAGCCATGTTCAATAACTAAAATTTTATTGAAGACATACAATAAAATCTATATGAACTAATAAGCAATAGTCGTGACACACTTATTAATTACTCCAGTTTCGTACACTAAGCATATACTCCCTCCGTCCCAAAATTCTTGTCTTAGATTTGTCTACATATGGATGTATCTAGTCACATCTTAGTCTTAGATACATTCGTATCTGATCAATTCAAGACAAGAATTTTGGGACGGAGGGAGTACAATGTAGGAGTCTCATGGCATGCTTGAGTTTTCAAGTAGAATTTTCTGAAAATATTTAGTTGATGTCATCTACTAATTTTGTAGGTATCTCGTCTTCATTGATGATGTATGGTCTACAGATGCATGGAACATTATCAAGTGTGCTCTCCCTGAGAATAATTGTTCTAGCAGAATTATAGCAACTACACGCATCATTGATGTAGCAAAGGCATGTTGTCTGAGTACTGATGACCGCATGTTTGAAATGAAACCCCTAAGTGATGTTAACTCGAGAAGTTTGTTTTTTAAAAAGAATATTTGGCTCTGATGATTGTTGTCCCAATGTGCTAAATGAAGTTTCGAATGAAATTCTGAAAAGGTGTGGAGGCCTGCCATTAGCTATTATCAGTATATCTGGTTTGTTGGCAAACAGACCAGCTATGAAAGAGGAGTGGGAAAAGGTTAAAAGGTCAATTGGTTCTGCACTGGAAAATAATCAGAGTCTAGAGGGAATGAGTAGCATACTATCTCTTAGCTATAATGATCTTCAACCTCATCTGAAGACATGTTTGTTATATTTAAGTGTATTCCCTGAGGATTATGTGATTGACAGAAATAGGCTTGTGAGGCGATGGATATCAGAAGGCTTTATCTCAGAAGAGCGTGGACAAAGCCAACAAGAAGTTGCCGAGAAATACTTTTATGAGCTTATCAATAAAAGCATGGTCCAAGCAGTGGACATTGGGGATGATGGTAAGGTTAATGCCTGCAGAGTCCATGACATGATGCTTGAAATTATTATTTCAAAATCAATTGAAGATAATTTCGTCACCATAGTGGGTGGAAGCCAAACAAGTTTGACAAACCACCATGGTTTTATCCGGCGACTATCAGTTCAGCACATTGACCAGGAGGCTGTATCTGCATTGGCAAATGAAGATCTCAGCCATGTTCGATCTCTAACGGTAACATCATCAAGTTGCCTGAAACACTTCCCTTGTCTTGCTGAATTTGAAGCTTTGCGTGTATTGGACTTTGAGGATTGCTGGGATTTGGAAGAGTATGACATGGACAATATGGACAAATTATTCCAACTAAAGTATCTCAGTCTGGGCAGTGCAGACAAATCAAAGCAACCACGAAGAACTATGGTGCTAGATGGTGTACTAACCCTAGATCCTAGGGAAAGACAGACGGAAGTGTTGCCAGCTGGAATTGAGCGCCTTACGAAACTGCAATATCTAATCACTAGGGGGTATCATTGCAAGGTACCTAATGGGATTGGAAATATGAGCAGCTTACGGGTGATCTCAACTTTTGATATTACCAGGAGTTCAGTGGATGCAGTGGAGGAGCTTGGGAACCTAACCAGACTGAACGAACTTCGTTTATGGTTGGATTTTGGAGACGGGTATAAGAGGCATTATGAGGTGCTTCTATCCTTACTATGCAAGTTTAGCAGCTGCAAACTCCAGTTCCTTCATATAAATGGAACAAAAGGCTTCATCAACTTCATTGACTTTTGGTCCCCTCCGCCATCTTTCCTTCAAATATTTTATATGTCTGGTGAACTCTTATTGTCGAACATTCCAAGGTGGATTACTCCAGGACTCAAAAGTCTTGCTCACATAGACATGACTTTAAATGAAGTAAGGGGGCAGGATCTGCACACTCTTGGTGAGCTCCCATCCTTAGTTATTCTAAGCTTGAGCTTGAAGACAGGAGTAAAAGGAAAGCTGACCGTAATTGGATTTCCATGTCTGAAGAGTTTTGACATCTTTAGTTTGGATGGGGCATATGTAACGTTCACAAAAGGAGCTATGCCAAAGCTTGAGAAGCATCTTCTGTCAGGCGATGCGGCAGTGATGAATACTCAGGGGTTTTATTTAGGCTTCGAGCATCTATCGTGTCTCAAAGAAATAGAAATAAGGACTTGGAAGCGTGGTGCCACACATCAGGAATGCGATGCAGCAGCAGCCGTGATCAAGAAAGAAGCACGTGCCCATCCCAACCGTCCAAAATTTAATTACACATCCAGTAGGCATAACAAGATCTATGATGCTGATAGTGACGAGGAAAAGAGCAACGAGGAGGGCAATTAAAATGGCCCATCGGGATGAAATGCTACTCAACTGAAAGAGGTACTAAAAATCTCGCACATTCTTTTCTCCTTCAAATTGACTACATCTCTTTTGTCAATACCTGCTAAATGCTTGTCAAATTCACATATTCTAGCACCATTTTCATTTTACCGATCCAGGATGATGTGTGCCTGGCTATAGCAACCTTGCCGGGAATTATAGTCATACTGAAAAAGATTTGGTGCTGCTATCTCTTGCGCTTCAAGAGTCAAGACTAGAAGATGGAAATCCGAAGCTGAAACAGGTCATCGGCAGAAAGAGGGTGGCTTCGTTTTATTGTCTCTGTGTTTTACCTTTGGTGATTTAGACCCAAGAATTGTTTGAATTGGGATACAATGGATTGTATTTTCTCTGAAAAACTTGCATTTTGTTTCGTTTGTTCACTCTTGTACGTAATCTCTATTTGTATTCTGAATTATTTCTGTTGAATACTTCCTGGTGATGGAAATGTATTGTTGATTCTAGCTTGCTTGCTTACTTGTTGCTAGGTATTTGTGTGCATGAGCAAGTTGAATGGCTGTCGTTGCTTCTGCTTTTATATGTATGTAAAATGATGTTGGGAATGACCAGGTTTACATGTCCTGAAAGCATGATTGCTGCTGCATCATACCATAAATGAAACTAAAGATTTTTTTTTAGAAAAGGAGGATGATCCCCGGCCTCTGCATCTGCTCGATGCATACGGCCACTTTATTAATTATTCTCACAAGACCTTACAAAGCCATACAATAGCAAGACTAAAGCCACCGTCTAAGCAACAGTTGTCGCTACACCTATCCAATTGATGAAGGGGCGCAGATAGTCTGGGCCTAATACCGAACAGACATCGCAGCCAAACCTAAACATCTAAGACCTGAGGTCCCAACCAAGACGCCTGTCGGGTATGGGGCACCTACCAATCCGACGCACTCCTCAACCAGGACGCCTGCCGGGTATGAGGCCGTCGCAGCCATCTGCCACCAATCCATCTTCAGAGCTGTACTGTTGCATGTACCATGTCAGGTCTCTCTACCATCGACGCCACCATGACGCCCGACAGCGTCGTCCTCCTGCGCGAATCCATCCTCCCACAGCGAACTCCGAATCTGCACCGCGCCACACTGTCAAGATCCGTCGCCATCAGTGTGTAGGATGAAACACCGCTCCACCAAAGAATCCGTCCTCTGGTCCCTCGATCACGTGTGTACCTTCAAGAATGACGCCCCCAAGGGAGGAACGACACCAGAGCGCCGCCGTCATCCGATCTAGGGTTTCCCCCAGAGGTAGCAGAGAGTGGCCTTAAACTTCTCCACGGCGATGCCTTCAAGAAGGGAACGACGCAGATAGCGCCGCCACCGCTAGCCTTAGCAGACACTGAAGACAAGTTTTCACCCAGATCAGTTCGAAGGGATCCAACTCTCGTGCATGGGCCGTCGTCACCACCAGCACCACCATGCAGAACCCTGGAGCACCGGCAGATCAGCGAGCCGCCGGCACCACCGCATCCAGATCGCCGGCCACGCCGGGCCGCCGCCTCCCGCGGACGTGATCTTCAAATGCCATCTCTTTTTACAGACGTGGACTCTGTTGGAGAAGGAGCGAGATGCTGAGCGCATGTCGGAGGCCATGACGCGCATCAAGACTATACAGGTGATGGCAAGACAAGATCCGCCGAGTCGTTGAAGCTTTTGGAGTCTTTAAGAGGGAGATCTATGTTACCTAGGTCTTCAGCGTTGGATGTTATGGTTGGTTGTAATGTTTGCCTTCGCGATGAACCTTCAGTTTCGTTTGGATGGCGGTCGTGGACCGAACGTTTCCTTTTGCTTTCGCTAAGTTGTAACTTGTTGAACCTGGTGCCTGTGGGCTTTATTAATTTAAAGCCGGACGCTTTTAGCGTCTTCGTTCCAAAAAAATGGTGCTACTACGATAAGGCATCAAACTTGTTGTAGTAGAGAGCGAGCGACGCTCATTAGTTGTGTGCCGGATCGAGTACGAATGTGCTGTGCGGTGGAGCATGTGCATAGTGGAGTTGCAGTTTCCTTGCATCTTGTTGCCAAGCTGGGCTGTACTCTGACCAAATTCAGCGACCGTGATTTAGATGTTACACTTGATACTCTCTATATATGTATATATAAGGCCACAAACTCAAATTACAAATACCAATGTAAAATTTAATGACTATTTTGTAAGTCAGCTTTTCTTTTTGTTTATTGGGATCATTAATACCCCACATGCATGCAAGAAAACTAAGCAGAGGAAGTAGCTGACTGTCATTATGACAACATGCATGCATCTAGTATTAAACAGGTTGCTAGTATGAAAAAATATCATTAATTTTGCCTCGATTATTGTTGGTGGCCTTGTATAAATGCAAAATGTATATTTCATAGTGGCCTTGTAGATGGAGTAGTTGGTTGGAGTTATTTATAACTCATGTAGTCGCTAGTAAGCAGTTACTCAAAAAAAAAGGCACATGTACAGTTTTACTACTACTCTGTTTATTCTCCTCTGCGGCTCTGCTTTACTACTTTGTTTCCTCTGCTCGGCCAGTGAGCCCAACCCTCGCAGCAACCGTCTGCCTGTCAAGGAAAAGAGCAAGCATCCCCATTATTTTCTCTTTCTAAGATTATCTCCACTCGTTCGGCCCCCCAGCGCATAGGCTAGCGCCTTTTCGGGCGTCCACCCGGCGATTTTTAGACCATGGGGGCGACCAAAGCCCCAGCCACGCCCCCTCGTGCCGCCCGTCAAGGCCCAACCACACGCCTCATATTCAAATTTGATCGTTCCCGCTCCAAAAAAGGGTCATAATCCGGCAATCATCGCAATAGTTCGACTATCACTGCCACAGTTCGGCGATCAAATGAAAGGATAGGCAATAGTTTGGCGCACAAAAAAAAGAAGGACGCGAAAGGAATGCATCAAACATCGAGGTCGCCCTCCGGCGTCGATGTCGGCGTGCGCGGGCTGGGAGGAGTCGGCGCGGCTTCTGGACTAGTCGGCGCGGCTTCTGTGCTGCTGGGCGTCGCGGAGGCATCATCAGTCGGGCTGGTTGGCGGCGTTGGCGTCGGCGTTGGAGTCACCGGTATCTGGTTCAGGATGAGGCCGCGCTCCGCCAGGAACCACGCCTTGAGCTTCTCGTCGCCGCTCTGGAGCATGTCAGTGCCGCCCATCAAGAAAGCCAGGTCATTGTTCCTCTTCTTGGCGTCTTGAGCTTTGAACTTCGCGGCGATGTTGGTCCGGAGCAACTTGAGTTTGACGGCGCTGTTTGTCATCAAAGCAGCCCACCGCGCCTCAGTTTTCTCTTTTTGCTGGGCGGCCCTGGTCTTGGCGTCGGCGAGGCAATGCTGATGGACTCTTGCACGCATGCGGCAGCCGACTCGGCGTGTTTCGCCTTCTTGGCCCCTTTGTTGCCGTCCGGGCGCCCGTCGGCCGCGCCCGGTGTCGGCGCGTCCGGCTTGTACGTCTCCTTGGCCTTGGCAAGGGTGCACCGGATATCCGCCCACTTCTCGCACTTGTCGATCCGTTTGAAGACATGGAGGTACTTGAACTCTTGATCGTTGTTGTCGTCGCGGTACATGGCGAACATGCGCAGCAACTGCGCCAAAGAGCGAGCATCAGTCGGCGCGGGCGCGCGCACGGAGAGAGGAATAGGGAGAGGGCGGTGTGCTGTACCTGATCCTCGACGTTGGTGCCGCTCTCCGGGCAAGCCGCGACCTCCTCGACGATCCCATGCCATTTGTTGCACGCCGTTTGGATGAGCCCCCAATGGTTCGCCATCGCCTTCGACACCCCCTGCATGTGGACGCCTTTGAAGTAGGGGTCGACGAGCTTGCGCTCGTCGAACTCAGCCTTGACGCGGTACCAATACGTGTCGATGTTCTAGTTCGTGCCGGTGATCGGATCAGGGCAGACGACTTTCCACACTTCAGCGAGGCACTCATCTTCCTTGGTCTCCCACTTGATGCGCGGCTCACCGGTCTTTGCTGCCCCTTTCTTCTTCTTCTTCTTCTTCTTGCCTTTCCTCGTCGGCGCCGGCTCCTCCTCTTCCTCCTCCTCCTTCTCCTCCTCCGGCTCTTCCTCGCCGTAGTCGAGCTCACCGTCCATGTCGCTGAGATCAATCGAGCCGTCTTGGGTAGTAAACCCGGGGGAAGCGGCGGCGGCTGCCGAGCCAGCTGCGATGATGTCTTCCATGTCGGCCTCCGTCGCGTCGGCGTCGCAAAGATGCGACGAGGAGGAGGCTTGCGAGTAGAGGCCGCGGCGGAGAGGTGGCGTCGGGGAGGCTACATAGTCCGGCGGCGAGTACATGTATGGTAGGTACTGCACGCCGGTGAACGCGGGCGAAGGCATGCGCTGGACCGGCGCCCATGGGGGAAGGTGATGTTAGGGTTGAAACCGCTGTGGACGTCGCCGTCGGCATAGCCCGTCGATGGCGTGCTCCATGGGTGTGGCGACGACGAGAAGCCGACCGGAGATACGACGCTTTGCTCGCTCCAGGCCGCGTGCGGGCCGTGGCTGCCGCGTGAATTCATCATCCCCACGCGTGCCGCCTCGGCTTGTTCGGCCGCCGAGCGCTCCTCCTGCTCCGTCATCGCCGCCGCCACGAGCACCGCCCTCTCCCAGGCCTTCTTGGCCCTGTTACGCCTGTCGGCGGTGACGACCTCCCGGCGCTGCACTTCTGCCTTCCAGTCGGCGTTGGTCATGCCCGGGGGCTTGGACGGCGGCGCCCTCTGCTTCCTCTGCTTCGGCTGGGCGACGGCGGCGGCTGTTGTATCCGTCGCGGCGCGGGGGAACACATACTTCTTCGGCGGCACGGCAGACGGTTTGGAAGGGAGGAGGCGGAGTTTGGCGGGAGGAATGGAGAATGAAAGGGAAGGCGAGGGGGGAAGCGGGAGGAAACGGCGGGAAAAGGGCCTCCTCTCGCCGACAGAGTGGCCCCACACCCCTTTTCGCTTCTACCGGCGACACCCGAGCGCTTGGGTTCG